CCCGAGAAAGATTTTCCATTGGCTGGTTCACTCCCCAAGTAATGCAAAGCCAGGAGTCAGGAACTTTTTCCGGTTCTCCCACACAGGTGCAGGGTCCCAAGGCATTAGGCCCCCCGCTCCACTGCTTTCCCAGGCCACAAGAAGGGAGCTGGATGGGAAGTGGAGCATCCGGGACACAAACCAACTCTTATATGGGATGCTGAGCACTTGCAAGGCGAGCGCTTCAGCCACTAGATTATCATATCAGGGCCTTTTATTATCTTTAAATGTATTTTTTGTAAGCTTTTGGAAGCCACACAGATAGACAGACACACACACACACACACCCCAGATGGACTTTTCTTTGTTGAATAATCACTATGTCTTGTCTAGACGGGGAGGATCTGTATTTAACACTATAACGGTATTGGCTCCTACCCGAGGCAGCCAGCTCTCGCTCTGCCTCAGTTCCTACAGCTGCCAGCTCTGCAGGAAGCTCTGACAAGGATTAATTGACTTTCCTGAACCATCAGGCTCAGCTGTGCCTCTCGGTTCCAGCCGTCCCCACAGGGCTCTGCTCCCACATGATTCACTGTCTAGAAGGGTTTTCTGTTAACAGGGGTTTTATGGAGTAGGTACTGGCTACTGAATGTGCCTTTATATTTTCAATTTAAATAACTTAGAAACTTGAGAATCTTTTGGGGGGTATTTCATTCTGTTTAAGAAAATGGGATGAGACCATACTAAAAATATTTGAATTATTCATTTTTTTAAATTGAGAATTCTATCCTGTTACCATTTAAATGAGGGTGGAGGAGTGGCAGATAAACAAAGTGTGAGATGTGCGCACATAGTTCTCTGCCTCCACCCCTTCTCTTGCCTCTAGTTGTCAGTAGTTGTAGTGTGTGGTGAAGGAATCTGTCCAGGGTCCTGCTTGGCAAGGCAGAGCTAAGAGGATGTGCATCTCAGGGGTGAGAAGTCCTCCCAATTGTTCATCCTGTTTATCTCTCAAATAATGCAGAAGTAGTCTGGCGTGGGTACCCTCACCTGCTCCGTGCTTCTGGAAGCCCTCACTCTTAAAGGCCTCTATGTTCCAGGGAAGGGAGAGGTGAAGGATGTAGTGTCAGACTGTAGCCCAGCTCATTAGTACCAGGTCCTGCGGAGCGGGGAAGGGAGATTTCTTGTCCAGCTTTCCACGAGACGCTGGTTCTTCCCACGCAGGTGCTGGAGTGTCTGCTGGAATAAGCATGCTCCTGTTTGGAGGTACAGTCCCTCTCTGTAGAGTGATTTTTCAGATGACAAATGGAAGCATCCTCTTAGTAACTTGGCGTTCATTCTTCCCATTGTGTTCTCCATAGCTGTTTAGATTAGGTCCACTAATTGATTGGTTTATTCATTTGCTTATTAGTTTTGAATTGGATGTCTGCTGTGCAGAATATATGGTGCCAGACAGGAGGCTCAAACTGCAGGAGCTGACAGATGAACAGAAGATAACGTGGACATACATATGTCGAATGTTCTGTCCCTCAACATCCATATGTTGAACTTCTGACCCTTGAGATGACGCGACTTTGAGCTGGGGGTCTTTGGGGAGACGAGAGGTTGTGATGGGGATTAGTGCCTTTGGGTTGGGATTGGGTCATCGGGAGGCAGGCCTTTACCACACACCAAGCACCGTGATCTTGGACTTCCCAGGCTCTAGAGTTCATTTCTGTGGCTTGCAGGAAGCCAGACTGTGGTAGTGGTGCTACAGAGCCCAGATGGGATAAGGTGACCGGCAAGGTCGTCAGGGAGGAGGCGGCAAGGAGAGCTCCTTCTCGTGGATGTCTTGAGGTTGAAGGGCAGAGACTGGGTGTGGAGAGTGACTGGACTGGCGAGTACTCTGAATTGGAGGGTGGAAGACAGTGTTAGACAAGGCATCCAGCCGGCCAAGGGCTGTGAAGGCAGGTGTGGAGGGCGGGTGAAAGGGGCAGCGGAGACTGGCCGTTTGCAGTGTCTGGGTGCAGTTTAAGGATTCTCCAGCGAGCCATGGTGCTGGAGCAAGTGACACTCATGTTGAGTGGGATAACTCTGGTGGCGGGAGACAGAGAACTGGAGGGCGAGCAACAAGCTGGTGAGAAGGGCCAGGAGCTCCGGGGTGGGGCCTGCAAAGGAAGGACTGAGTGACAGAAAGATGGCAGTGGTGGTGACACAGCCTTGCTGCCACTTCTCACACCTCCAGACTACTCAAATCCTTCGCTGCTTTCTGCTGGACTTGTGACTTGCTGTTTGCAAGTGGCTCCAGATAATGGTGGTCGAGAATTCCAGACCAGATGTTCCACTGAAATATTACAGACCCATTTCCTCACCTCCAGGGAAGTTTTTGTGGGGGATTAAGCCCATATAATAAAGAAGCTTTACGTGATTTTTTTTCCTAAAACACACACACACACATATATATACAAACACACATATGATATATATAAAGGGATATGTGCACTCATAGATTGAAATTTGATCATTTTCCCTTGGTGGTCTATGTATACTTTGGCAATCATTGTTACCATTATTCGCTTCACTATTGTGGGAATTAGATCCTTGGCTGGACACTGTGCCTGTGACATCTTGGGTAAGTTATCCCACCCCTTCTTTGCCTCGGTTTCCTCATCTGTAAAATGAGGCTGACATCTGGGATTGCTTTAAGTGTTAAGAGTCAATATCAATGAAGATCTATTTCTTTTTAAAAGGTTTATTTATTTAAAAGTAGAGTTACAGAAAGAAGAGAGAGTGCACATACATCTTGCATCCACTGTTCACTCCCCAAAGGGCTGCAAAAGCCAGGGCTGGGTCGGACTGATGTCAGGATTCAGAAACGCCAGCCACATGGGGTTTAGGGACCGAATGTTCCAGCCTTCATCTGATGCCTTTCCAGGCACATTAGCAGGATGCTGAATCTGAAACAGAGCAGCCAGGACTGGAGGGAATGGCAACCAGCACTCCGATGGGATGACAGTTGCACAAGGAGGACTTAAGCCATGGTGCCACAACTCCAGGCCTGTCGTCTGGAACCATTTGTAACATTGAGCAAGCGCCCAGGTGTTAGTACTGAAATCACATTACTGCTGCTACTGCATTGTTTTTATATGAGTTGGTGCCCTACTCTGGAATGTTCTTTACTGCATCCAGAGTTTTTTATCTCGCACATAGTGAGCACGCACGTGTGTGTGTGTGTGTGTGTGCCTATGTGGGTGTGTGTGTATTACATGATGTGCTGTGTACATGAGACCAGAGTCTGGGATTTTACAAACTTGTGGTAAGAATCAGGTAAAATTCCACAGCCTAGCATGTGGTGAAGCTATAAATGTCAAATTTCTTCTTCTTCTTCTTTTTTTTTCCTGGCTGCATTGTACAGCAAAGCAAAGCAATAAAAGCTTTCCTTTTCTGCTCACTGTTAGTGTATTAGCCAGGCTTGTTTCACTGCTCGCGTCTCCAGGGGAATGAAATCGTTCCCAGGGAATCACTTTCAAAAGCAAAGAGCAGCCGCAGAAGGGTGAAACCAGAGGGAAAGAAAATGAAAGGGGGAACTGAAGTGACAGGGACGTGCGTCATTGAAGTGGTCCCACTTGGGGGACAGGCCATTGGAAAACCAGGAGCCCCCCCCCCCCAGAAGACTTCTAAAAACAGTGAGAGGAGCCTGCATAGTGTTGGTTAAGCTGTCACCTACAGTGCCTGGTCCTCCTGCTTTGCTCTGAGCCAGCTCGTGCCTGGAAAAGCAGCAGAGGAATGGCCCAAGTGCTTAGGCGCCTGTATCCATGAGTTAAATGCAAAAGGAGCTCCTGGTGTTGGCTTGGTGTTTTAGATCCAGCAAATGGAAGCTCTCTCCCTTTCTCTCCTTCTCTCTCTCTCTCTGCAACCCTGTGTCTCAGATAAATACATCTTGTAAAAGACAGGGTGAGGGCAGGGGCAGGAGTTTGGCCCAGTGGTTGAGATTTTAGGAGGGCTCCCCTCGTCCTGGATTGCAGTGCTGGATTCAGGTCCTGCTCTACTCTCAACTCCAGTTCCCCACTGACATTCACTCCACAAGGCAGCCAAGGGTGACCCAAATCCTCGAGTCCCTGCTTACCCACATGAGAGACGTGCTTTGATTTCCTGGCTCCTGGCTTGAACCTAGCATGCCAGGCTCTCGTGGATAGCTCAGGAGCGAACCAGAAATGAGAGCGGTTGGTCAGTGGCTGCAGACTTACAATCTGATTGGAGGAACAACTTCCAGTGCTCTGTTGCGGAGGTCATTGAGCACGTGACAGTGATGGTTGCGTACTTGAAGGTAGCCAGGAGAGACCGTTTTGAATGTTCTCACCACAGATGTTGGAGGTCATGGTTATGCTAATCCCCATACTTGATCACTACATAATTATTTTAAACATCCCATTGCATTCCATAAATATATGCAATTATTATGTGTCATGAAAACTCTTTTTAAAAAAGAAAAAAGGAAAATGATCATCTCCCCTGACCCTACCAATCACACCGGCAGAGACAGACAGTGCCGATGCAGAAACAGGGGTCCCGGAAGAGGTGGCCAGCCCAGGGGTCCCTTGAGTCCTCTCCCAGTTCTGCGAGAGTAGCCATCCCGTGCCTATCCTGTCATAGCGTTTGCAAACCTGAATCAGCCCACATGTTCACTTCTGCTTACGTAGCCATTAGAACTGCGGCCAGAAAAGAGGCTGTCTTTTTAATAATACTGTGTTGGATCACCGGCTGTATCTTGAAGCAGGAGAGATTGAAACCATTGTCTAGCCCACTTGGCTGCATCCCCAGCGAGTGACAGCAGAGAGGCCCTGGCAAGCCTCCATGCACCTCTGATCCTGGAGCCCCCTTAGGGAGGAGACAGGGCAGTGATTGGCCTGAGCCCAGCAGGGGAAATGAGGGGGCTGTCCCCTGGGCAGGGTGGGCAGTGGTTGGGGCAGTAAGGAGAATGGAGGCCAGAGGCCCACTGATGACTGCGTGCTCTTCTGCTTCACAGGTGTGTCAGCTGACCCCAGCTCCACCACCCCAGAAGACAGGGAAGGACCGTGTTACACATCTCTCATATCTGACCCCTGTTACCCACCGCGGGAGGAGTCCACATACTTCACTGGAATTCTCCAGAAGGACAGCGGCCACAGCACCACTGCTAAGAGCCCAGAGGACTTGGCTGCTCCCGCTGTGCCTGGGATGGAACCTCGGGGCCTGCTCAGTTCCGATTCCGGCATAGAGATGACCCCGGCAGAGTCCACCGAGGTGAACAAGATCTTAGCAGACCCCTTGGACCAGATGAAAGCAGAGGCCTACAAGTACATTGACATAACTAGGCCCGAGGAGCCGAAGGGTCGGGAGCAACCGCAGCTGGAGCTGCACGAGAAAGACTTGGGCCTTAAGGAGAAGGACCTTGACATCTCAGCCAGCCCTGAAGGAGCCCGTGAACCTGACACACCAGCTCCCGTGCAGGGCAAGATCCTCAAGGACCACTTATTTGAGGAGTCCACGTTTGCACCTTATGTCGATGACCTCTCGGAGGAGCAGCACCACGCGGCTCTGCTCAGCGCCCCGGTCAAGATCATGCTCACGGAAGTGGAGGCCACCCCGCCAGAGAAGGGCCCTGAGAAACAAGACGTGTGTCTGAAGCCGAGTCCTGACACGGTGCCCACCGTCACCGTCTCGGAGCCTGAGGATGACAGCCCCGGGTCTGTCACGCCCCCATCTTCCGGAACAGGTACAGGCACTGCGCAAACCCAATCCAGGGGAACTCTAGGACACCTGCTGGAGAATGGGGATTCACATTCACCGATTCGATCAACAGCAATCGATTTCCCATTAGGTCCCATCAGATTTTGTTATGAAGTGTTTCTCTCTTGAGTGGAGGGGGACGCTGAGGATGGGAACAGTATGGTCATTTCGTCGTCCGTGGGGTTCAGAGCAGAGGGAGGGCTTGCCTGCTGCCTCGTTAGCTCACCCTGCCTCTGCCATGTCTCCATCCCAGGACACACAGGTGCTGCTCCCCTCCCCCTTCACTCTCAGCACTGCCATTCTTGTCTTCTAGTTGAAGTTCTCCCCACAGTTTTGTTTTCATAGCTAGATGTGCGGTGCAGCTTCAGAGACAAGTAGGATTAACACGGGTTTATTTTGGTGGAAACCATGTTGAAATCCCTGCGTAAGTTAATCACAATGTGTGTTTTCCTTAAATTTTGCTAAGATCCTCCATGCATTGAGTTAAATTTAGATAGTCTTTTTAAAAATTCAAAAGTTTTCGAGTATTTAGAATTTTCTAGACTGTGATCTTTTTTTTTTTTTTGTCTTGAACATCCTCTTACACTGACTTAAACCAGGATGTGAAACCACACTGGGACACAGTCTGTAAAACATGAAGGGGGACTCGTGTGCCTGGGTTTCCCACTGTCTCCTCAGGGCCCCCCAGACCCTGTTTCTTCTGACCTCATTCATCGTTGTCTCTATTCTTTTATCATCCTTTCTCTTGAATACCCATGAGGCATTGGGACAGCAATTAGGTAAAAGCCTGGTGGCTGCCAGTCACTGTTCCCAAAAGGCTCTGGCCAGTATCTCAGGGCAAAGAACTTCCTTAAACTCAGAAATGGATCCAGAGCCCAAAAGGAAAAGGCCATTGCTCGAAGCTGCAGGATCGGTACAGTGTAGGAATGGCTCTCCGGCGAGCAGTTTCCCTAAAGATGCTGACACTACCTCAGACTCAATTAGAAAGCTTCAAGGATCTTAAAAAGCCACTGCACTAAATTCTTGGTTTTCAAACTAACTCATTCACTCAACAGACACTTTCTATGCATTTTCTTCTGGTTAGGTACATTATGAGACACTGGACATGTGCCAGTTCCTGCTTTCCTGTGGGACAAATGACCAATAAAAGAGCCCCAATCCAATGTGATCGTGTCTTGGGAAAGGTTCCTGAAGACCCTTAGAGTCTAAAGTGGCTCTCCAGGGAATTGAGACCTAAGGGGACTCTCCAAGGAAAAGGAGACAGTAACCAGGTGAAGGGGAAGGGGCGGAGTCTCTGGAGGTGTAGAATCGTCAAATAGGAGGCACCGTGGAATTCACCCAAGAGGTTGGAGGAGCTATGGGTAGTGGTGACAAATAAGGAGATTCAGGTTCCAAGTGCTTTGATGCGTGAGTGGTCCCAGCATACAGCCTGAGGCAGGGGCGTAGCCATATCTCAAAGTATCCTTGCACACTGAAAGTCCTCCGTTATTCTGTGGCATGGAGACGCCTTCTGTTCTCAAGCATCCTTGCACACTGAAAGTCCTCTGTTATTCTATGGCATGAAGATGCCTTCTGTTCTCAAGACACAAACTCTAGATAGCCTGCCGTGTTTTTACAAATCCTCGGGTTGTCTGATGGTCAGCCCAGAAGAACTGCCGCCAACCTTCAGGAAGGCAGAATGACCAAGTGTACGTGGTCCATGTATGTTGCACTTAGCTCATCTAAACATCACAGTGGACAAAGATGAGATGCAGGGTTCATCCCATTCACGATTAGGGACTTGGTTGTTTTCATTAGATCTGACTCCCTGAGATTCTGGAATAATTTTTAGAGAAGACAGAGATAGATCTGATGTAAAGACTTTGGGTTGCCCAGTTGGCAACATTTCTTTGCAAGTACATCAAATAAACAGTCTAAGCGATGCGTGTTCGAGAAAGAGGAAGATGCTTGACTCAAGACACAGTGCTCAAACATGTCTTATGTATTATTATATAAGTTGTTTGTGCATTGTGCTTCCCTTATACAAGAATATCAGCAGGGATTTTTTTTTTATGTGTCATTCACTAGTATGTCCTGAATGCCTATGGAGGGGGCTTAACACACAGTAGATTCTAAATAATAAATGAATGAGTGATGGTGTAGGAAAAGAATAAAAATCAGATTTGTTTTCTGCAGAATTAGAAAAGCTAAACCATTACCGGTTTTCCCACCATCCTCAAGCAATAGATGAGTCCCTCTCACCTCCCTGTATCCCAGCAGCTTCGAAGACCACCAGTTCTTGCTCCCAAAGGAACCAGATACCACTTTGAAAAGAGGCCCTGCTGGATGGCTTGGGAATCCCTGGCTGCTCCCGTGTTGCCATAGCGACAGCTGGTCTCCTGCCTGTGAGGGCAAGTGCAGTAAGGGTCATCTGGACAAACATCAGGCCAGGCGGGCATTGGGCCAGGGAGCTGGGGCAACTCTCCGGCTTTATTCCTCACCAGTGGGGTAGAGAGGGGGCCGGAGCTGGCGACAGGTCTGCCACCTTGGAAGCCTTATGGGATGGTGAATTCTGGCCACTGCACAGCCCTTCTAGTGGAAGCTGGTGGGGGAAAGAGGCAGGGAAGAAGGAGGCAAGGGAGGAAGGAAGGAAGGAAGGAAGGGAGGGAGGGAGGAAGGAAGGAGGAAGGAAGGAAGAAGAAAAGCTTATGTGCTATTCCCATTGCAAACTCTTAAGAATCGTGGTACCCAAGACTCCAAAGGCTCCATCTTAGTCATTAGAAAGGGACCGCCTGCTGCCCAGGCAGGCGATAAGGGGCGACTGAGCCTTGTGGCTACTGGTGGATCCAACCAGAGAGTCATGTCCAATCAGATGCTCTGAGACATCGGAAACCAAGAGGATATCATCTAGAATCATAGCCAGATTGAACAGAAAGGCCAACGCAGGTTCTGTTGCTAAGAAATTGCTGGATTCTCTCTTAGATAAATAGCTAAATTCGGAGAGGTGTGTAAAAACTCCGATCCCCTGGACCAAGGTGTTCAGGTGGCCCTTGGCTCTGGCATTGCGCGCCGTCAGCAGACTATCCTTGTGTTAATACGGCATGTGTTTCTGCAGCAACTAGAAAACATCCCCTTAATGGACTTGTGTTTTCTTTCTCCACTCCCTGTCCATCTGTGTGTCCGTGTGTGTGCCTCCCCGCCTCGTGTCTCCCGTGCTCCGTGGGACGGCAGAAGCATCTGCTGCGGGATCCCCGGGGAAGGGCAGTCTCTCGGAAGATGAGCTCATCACTGCCATCAAGGAGGCCAAGGGATTATCCTACGAAACCGCCGAGAGTCCCCGGCCGCTGGCCCATGTGGCTGACAGGCCCGAGCCCAAGGCCCGGGCCGGGCTGCCGACCATCCCTAGCCCCCTGGACCATGAGGCCAGCAGCGCCGAGTCCGGGGACTCGGAGATTGAGTTGGTATCCGAGGACCCGATGGCCGCGGATGACACTCTTCCTGCAGGCTACGCGAGCTTCGGCCACGTGGGGGGCCCTCCGCCACCATCCCCGGCCTCGCCGTCCATCCAGTACAGCATCCTGCGCGAGGAGCGCGAGGCCGAGCTGGACAGCGAGCTCATCATCGAGTCGTGCGACGCGTCCTCCGCCTCCGAGGAGAGCCCCAAGCGCGAACAGGACTCGCCCCCGGTGCGCCCTGGCGCCCTGGACGCCATCCGCGAGGAGCCTCGCGCTGCGGCCCAGGAGCGCACACCCAGCCGGCGGGACCTGGCCGAGCCGGGCCGCTTCCTCGAGTCTCTGTCGGATGCCCCGCCAGCCGGCCCGGAGATGCCCACTCGAGACGCAGCCGTGGCACCTGAGGGGCACGCGGCGCAGCGCACACCCGTGCAGGCGGCGACCTCATCTCCGAGTCCAGGGGCTGCGAAGGGCCCTGGACCTCTGGGTCCTGGCGATGCGCAGCTGCTGCTCTTCTTCAGTAAGCAGAAAGGTAAAGTCCCAACTTCTCTGATCGCGTCGGGTTGTCTGGGGCGGGTCTTCCCAGGGTCGAAGGGGTGGGAGGAGAAGAGAGAAGCCCGATCCTGGGCTGGGCCCAGTGTGACAGGAGAGAGCTGCCTTGGGGGGCTTGTGTGGACTTTCCAGGCCTGACCCACCGTTCAGTCAGCAGGTCCCAGTTCTTGCTTCTTTCTTCACTGCACCAGGTGAACCTCAGCTCCACCCTGTTTCTCAAGGACTGAGAGATTTGCGCCTTGTTGAGGTTTTTGTGTCCGGGTATTCAAGAAAAGCGGGGACCAAAGTTGATTCTAGAGTCCCTCCCGTCCCTAGACAAGAGTGGCTGAACGAGTTTTAAAATCCCTTAAGAAGTTCTGACTTTGAGCTACCTGCACTTGAGATCTTGAGATGCCTTATGTGTGGGCGACATTCTCCAAAAACCACCTGTTGCACAGGACCGTGGCTGTGTCGTGGCAACTGGGAACGGCATCGGAGGCACAGGAAAGCACGAGTCGCTGTGTCTGCTGTTTGTGTGAGAGTTCTGTCCTGGCTGAAGGTGGGGACCTCGCACCCAGCTCCTGGGGGAGCACCGCCAGGTGGCACTTGGACGCAGCACATAGCACAGTCTTAGTCGAGGCGCCCTTTCTTAGACCTGTTCTATGTGTCTGTTTCTTTAGAAGTGACCGGCCTGTAATGGTTCCAAGGGTGCGTGCGCTCTCTTCTCTTGCTCTGGCGTCTAGCTCCGTGGTGTTGGCAGCATGGAAGTGTTTCCTCCAAGGATACAATCTTTCTCCATAGAGACTGGAAGGCAGCTTTAGTGGTGGGAATGCGTTCGTGTTAGGAGACTATTGAAATTGACTTGGAATTGCGTATGTATTAGGAGACTGTTGAAACGGAAGTGCGTTGTTTTGCCACCAGGCCGACAGTGTTGGGGGGTGGGGGGGCTGGCTATCTGTGGGGAGCCCTAGGATCAGCACAAACAGGTCCCCAGGGACCAAGTAGCCCAGCCTGAGTGCCCCCTGGGCACGGACTGGTATCACTGGTCTGGAACCAGCACACAGCTCTATTTTCTCCCCTCCCTGATGTCCCTGGAGAAGTGGCCAGCACTTGTAGCACAGGCTCCATAGCAACAGTCAGCAAGCGTGAGAAGCACAGATAAGGCGTTTTGTAGGTGGGCCATGTTCCCTCCTCGGGGAGCCACGGCTGCCTGGAATCTGATGAAGAGCCAGCCGAGGGAACTGAGTAGAGGCTTCTGGCCAGTTCCAGGCCACTGGAATACCTGCAAGGTGCCCAGCAGGGGAGCCAAGCAGAGAAGTTATGGAAGTGAGAGCCACAATCCTTTTAAGTCCATAGACAAACTGGGCTGCATAACCTCTGCTCCACCTGCTCGGAGGCGGCCTTTGAAATTCCGTCTCCTACTGAAGTGCACTGCTCAGCTGTGCTGTCTCTGAAGAACATCTAAAAGGCCCTTTCCGGGCAGCCAAGTGTAGGGGCCCTGGGGCAACTCAGCTCTGCCTGGACCTGCAGGCTAGCACCATTGCAGTTCCCTCTGGTCTCTCCTGCTCCATCTCGGCAGGCCCCACCTCCTCCAGGCTGCTGTTAATTACACCAAAATAGACATCTTTAACTCCATTTTACATAAAAGTTTCAAGGTTCTCTCTTGTTTTGCTGGGGAGGGACCCCGCGGGATGCCATGGGGGCGCTGTTTTGACATGGGAAATCCCGGGCTGATTTTAAGATCCATTGAGGCGGAGGTCCCCTACTGATGGCAGTGCAAGTTAAAGCTTTTTTTATTGGATGCAGAGAGGGGTGGCGCGTGGAAGGGGGCAAAGGCAGAGAGGAGGCAGAGACAGAGAGAAGGGAGAGGGGACGCCTGGCAGAAGGGCGCGGAGAGAGAGGACCACAAGCAGGTTCCAGGGGAAGAGAGGGGAAGCTCAGGGGATTGGTAGACGCTGCGGTAGGCGGGGCCAGGGAAACAGGACCACAAGGGATTGGTGGATAGGGCTGTCGGGTACAACATCGGGTGCCGGCCTTACAGAAAGGAAACCCAAGGACCATCCAACACCGAGTCTCCATGGTTTTCTGGACCGACGCCCAAGTCACTCTTCACAAAGTCGCTCCTCCTAGCTCCTAGTCCGCTGTCTCTGTGTGTGGAACGTCCTATAGCCCTCCCAAACTCAGTGGGACCGTGTGATAGCGAACTCTCTTCCTGTGTTCCGAATCTGAACAAGCGAAATGATGTCATGTTGGTGTGAGCACTTAACCTGCGTGACCCCTATCTCTCACAACCAAAACAGCGTCTTAGACGAATACTCTAACAATAGCTATTAGAATTTTATAGGGCCATGGCCTTTAAATACTGCTAGGAGTTTATCCCACAGCAATCCAGCAGCAAATGGGAAACACACACACGTATATAGTGCAAATGTATTTATTTATTTAAGGTTTATTTATTTTTATTGCATAGATGTGTATAGAGAGGAGGAGAGACAGAGAGAAATATCTTCCATCCGATGATTCACTCCCCAAGCAGCTGCAATGGCCAGTGCTGCTCCAGTCAGAAAGCCAGGAGCCAAGATCCTCCTCTGGGTATCCCACGCGGGTGCAGGGTCCCAAGGCTTTGGGCTGTCCTCGACTGCTTTCCCAGGCCACAAGCAGGAAGCTGGCTGGGAAGTGGAGCTGCCGGGATTAGAACTGGTGCCCGTATGGGATCACGTCGTGTTCAAGGCGAGGACTTTAGCTGCTAGACCATGGTGCCAGGGTCACGTAAATGTATTTATAAAGATGTATATCAGTAGGGATAGGTGTTTAGCACAATGCCTGTGATGCAGTTTGCGACAGCAACACCCCATATTGGAATGCCTGGGTTGGAGCTCTGGCTCTGCTCCTGGTCCCGGTGTTCGGCCCGATACCCCGTAGCAGGTAGGAGCTCTCGTGGTTGGATCCGTGCCATCCCCGTGTCTTCCACCTTGCCTAGTTGAAGCTGTTGTGTGCATCTGCTGAGTAAATCAGTGGATCAGAGATTTCTTTCTGCCTGATGTTCAAATAGATAACATAGATAACTTAAAAAATAAATATCTACCTTTTTTTTCGTATAGCACTGTTAATAGCAATGAAATCCACTGGAAGCTATACTCTATCAACATGGAGTTCAATAGAAGAATTTTGATTCATCTGCCCATTGTAGTGCAAGGGTGCTTCAAAAGTATCATGGAAAATGGATTATTAGATATCTTTAATGTATGTGTGTGTGTGTGTGTGTGTGTGTGTGTGTGTGTGTGAGAGAGAGAGAGAGAGAGAGAGAGAGAGAGAGAGAAAGGCATAGTAACAGAGAAAGATATCTTCCACCCACTGGTTCACTTACCAGCCGAGTCTGGGTCAGGCCGCAGCTAAAGCCTGGACCTCCATCCACGTTTTCCACCTAGGTGATGGGGACCCTAGCACTTAGGCTTTCTGCTCCGTTCCTGGGTGCATTGGCAGGATCCCGGCTTGGAAGTCAAGTAGCTGGAGTTGGAACCAACACCCCAACATGGAATCTGGCATCAGAAGCAGTGGCTTCACCCACCATGTCACAAATCCAGTCCCTAATTCAAAGAGATTTCAAATCCTTGCACAAAAAAGATCTTCAAAGTTTAATGGAGTATTCCATATATATATATATACTCCCTAGATTTCAAATCTCTCTGTACTCTATTTTCTACAAACCCCTTGAAGACTCTTGCACCGCAGAGCGACATGAAGGAACTGAATCTGGCCCTGCTAGAAGCCTCGGCCTAAGACTAAGTGAAGGTACTCACTGCAGATCCAATTAAAAACTTTCCTGGCAGTAGCATTTGCTTGTAAAACTATCATCCACAATGTTCCTAGTATTTGACAAAGCATTATAAAAATACAAAATGTGAAAATTCTCTTTGTGCAATGGTCAAGAGCACAGCCAATGACCCACTTCAAGGAACACTGCTTTAAGCTAATGGCTGGCTCCCTAAATGTTGCCTGAACTTAGGTGCCTAAGAATGAGCTGGAATGCTTCTTAAAAAGTCGGGTTCCTTCTCCACCCTCTCGCTGAGTCTGCGGAATGAGAATGGAGCGGAGCACAAATGTGCACTTGACTAAGCCACAGCGAAGCCTGGGGATTCCTGATGTGAGTGGATGAGCTAAGGAGGCCAAACCTGCCGTGCAAATGACCTTGATGAGCACGCCTTGGGCTTATCCTGGTTTTTAATTAAAGGCACTGAAGGGGACTCAGCTGTTTGCTATCTCTTCCGGCCAGAGGAGCATCAGCACCTCTCTTTGTGGAGGGATGCGACGCTACGGCCCCCTCACCGGGGGTCTCTGTAGGTCCTAACTTTAGCCCCCTGAGCATGGAGGACCCGCCCTCCCCACCCCCGTGGCAGGAAAAGCTGTGTCTTCCTTGGGAGAGGAATGTGGAGGAAGGCTGCCAGGTAGGGGGTCTTCTCAAATAGAATCAATTCTCATTTGCCTAGCACTGCTATTGTTGTATTGCATTATTGCACCAGGTATAGCTTCTCTCCTGAAGTATTTAGAACCCAGAGGATGTAACACCATTTGCTTTTCTTCCCATCATGCTAAAAAAAAAAAAAAGTTAGACTCTAGTTCTATATATATTTGCTTCTATGAAACTGAGTTGATGAATTGCACTAGAAAGATTTTTTTTTTGGAACGTCTTTTCTATTTCATGGTACAGATTTCAGCCAGCCTGGTGTTTCTTAGAGTGGTGCTTTAAAAGTCCATGGAGAAATAAAATTAAAAGGGAAGCTTATTTTGGGGTAAAAGCCTGAAATCCATGTATAATTTTCCCCCATAATAAGTCATCTTCTTTTTTTAAAGATTTATTTATTTTCATTAGATAAATACAGATATACAGAGAGGAGGAGAGACAGAGAGGAAGATCTTCCGTCCATCGTGTGGTTCACTCCCCATGCGACCACAATGGCCGGTGCTGTGCCGATCCGAAGCCAGGAGCCAGGAACCTCCTCC